CCCCCCCCCCCCCTCTCTCTCTCTCTAAATTCTACAGAGTTTCTCAAACCTTACAAGATCGTTTGTGCTCCAGGTACTAGATTTGACTTGCTGAACTTAAATGAAAAGGAATATAATATCACCCGATAAAAGATGATGCTAATTTGTGTACAACATACCCTCCTGCCAGTCCATCTCCAAAGCCTCCAAAGATATGAGAGCCTTGGAGGCTTCATTCATGGCAAGCCCCTTGCGTACATCAAACGTTACCAATCCCAGATTTTAGATCCTATCAAGAGGCTCAGTGCGATCTTGCACTGCAAGCCGCTCTGAAACATCAGCAAGTGACTTGAGATTGCATTTAATCAAGGCTTCCACAAAGTAGCATGTCTCGTCCTTTGTGTTTCCTTCAGGCACATCGACCACAAATGATTCAATTACCAAAGTCCCTGGTCTTCCATCAATGATTTCTGGATGCAAGGAGATGATTGAAGAGTAATTCTGAAAGAAAGTTGCAGATTATTAAAATTTATTACTGATTTAGACACACTAAAAAATGGAGCATCTAACTAGGTATCCCCAAAATATTGTCATAGCTATTAGAACTATATTGTCGTATAAACAAAGCAGAATTTCCTGTTTAATTCATCAATCACATAGCAAGTGACAGGATAGAGCTTTGATTCATGTTAATCCTTAATTGGACAGTCAAATGATACTAATCATAGCTCATTATTTTCTATTCCAAAGCACATGCCGCAAACGCAAATAGTTAAAATTACATGAAAGATGAAGCTTCAAGCCAACTTGAGCTAGCGAATCCGGCGCATTATCTGTGGGCATAAATGACTACCAAAAGCTCATTTAAAACAAAATCATGGCGAAAACTCTATAACATGATCATTATTATCAGGCAAGTCCAAAATATTTTCAATAAGAAATGTTCTCAACAGTTCCTCCTTTTGAACATATGAAATCACAGTTCCCTGATATACTGATTTGATGTCATTGTAAAATAGGTTAGACTAATCTTTGGATAAATTTAGGTTTCGAACATTCAAGGGACGAATATCAGCAAAAATCTGTTTTGCTCAGAAAATATGAATACTACAAATATTCTCATGCCTATTTTATAGAAAACAGAACAATTAGTTTCACCCTAAAAAGAAAGATAAAAATTGCATATATTCAGCCAATATCAGAACCATGGAATTCTCCAAGAAAGGAGCAGATAAAAAATACATTGAGACCTGTACCTTGAGTCTGTGATCTCCGCCAACAATCCTCATGCTAAGGATGTGCCTATCATCATCGAGGAGTTCCAATCTCTCTGTACTCGTTGTGGCTGGAAGCCCCGATTTCACATCAACTTCTCTGAGAGTCCCGATCTCAAGGTTTCCCTTCAAAACACATCTGCTAACAAAAGGTTTGTATCTTTGTGGTTGATCAAACCTCCTTACCAGAGACCATACCTGGAGAAGAGCCATTCCAATTCCGAAAATAATTAAGTACAAATGAAGGCAAGAATCCAATAACCCAAGCTATGATAATATACAAATATCATCATAATTCTTATTACATACTTGCATCTTTATTGTTTAAATAGGATCAAAAGACCTTCCATAATGCTTCGCTTTCCAAGTTCTAATAATTCCAAAAACATCCATATGATCTCAGATATAGAACAAATGAAAACATAAAGCAACCACAGTTTGCTAGTTCCTCATAATGCAATGCGTTTACCTTTCACTTTCTTTTTAAAAAAAAACTACCTGCATAAATCAAATTCCAAAATTTATGAAAAGAACCTCTTGTTAGCAGTTGATTCATATAGAATTGCTATTATACTCTGCTTCTGTATTCTCCAAATGTTGTTTTTAACAACACCCCGAGAAGACAATGTCTTCTTTCCAGAATATATCCAAGGGATTGAACTCGCCCACAAAAGGCAAGATAGGAGCCGTGATGATGATTGGGGTATAATGCATGGACGTTCGGATTTCCATATAAACATAGGAGGATGCAGAAACCAACAGAAACAAATAAGTTAATAAAATAAGATACAAGTTATCATGATACATACAGCCCTAATTGAGGCCAAACCGATCGGTTAGATCCGCCAAATTTGGAAACCTCTTAGACCATTAGTGTTGAGAAGTAAAATAGGATTTGAAAAACATAAAACCAATAAATAATGAAGAAAGCCATCTTCATCAACAGAATTTAAACTGGACAGAGAAAAGAGGGAAGATGATTTACAAGATGAACAGGAGCTTTAATACGCTTGACAAGCTGAGAGGTGCACTGATTCTCCGCAGGCTCAGTCCTGTGGTACCTCCGAATAAGCTCCCATTCCGCGTTACTGAATCCTCCTACATTCCCATTCCGAGTGCTGTTACCATTCATTTTCGCTACTGATTCTCGTTCTCCACACAACAAAATCAAACTCCACAGCTAAATCAAACCACTTTTTCTCCTTCCTCCCTCGTTAGTTAAAAAAACAAAAACAAGAAGATCGCAAAATTCAACTCTCTCTGTAGAATCATAAAAAACAAAAAAACAAAAAAACAAAAAAAAAAACGAAACTAAGGTCAAATCATCACATCAACCTACACAATCCAAGTCCTCACTCAATCGCCGGCAACCAAAAGATCCAATCGGCGGCATAAAAAACTCAATAAACAAAAAAAAAAAAAAAAAAAAAAAAAAAA